CAAAATGTATTTATAAAAATACATAATACTATATTAATATAGAAAGACTTTATATAGTTAAAATAGATATAAAATCTTTAACTCATGAAGTAAATTCTCTATTTATAGATGTATGGAGCAGAGCTTTTTAGTTCAAATACATATGAGATTAAATAATTATATTTTTAAAAAGTAATATAAGACAAAGAAGTTCAGTGTGCTTACAACATAAATAATTTTTGGGATTGTATGTTTGAGGATAAGAATTAGTAAAGAGAATGCAGATGATGATTAAATAAAATATAATTTCAATTCCATGTAAATGATCTTATTTTAATTATGTAGACTTTTATCCTAGTGGAATATGCATATTATAGTAATAAGTGAATTTTAGAAATAATGCCATTTAAAATTTTCCTAAGCCAAGAAAAGCAAATTATTTTTTCTTAAACTATTAAAAAATATTTTTCCCTGGTTATGTCACCAAGAAATAAATCTTCCAGATTCTTTCCCTTAAAAATTTGTATTTTCCAAATCAAGCAACAGAAACCACACACAAGAAATTTCAGCTCAAAAATATTTTTTCCAGGAAGAAACCCAAAAGCAACTTTGAATTAATTGTACCTCCTTTATTCTGTTTCATTAAATTTTCAAAATTTAGTCATTGTTTTTAGTAAAACACACTGAATAAAAAATGTAAAGTCTCATAAAATGACATGTATTAAAGAGAATAAAGTAGCTTACAGAATAATATCAACAAATGGGATATACTGATATTCATACTAGAAGATGTCTCGCTATGACACTCACCCAGTGAGAATGGAGGAAAGTTTGTATTTCAGGAACCAATGGGCCTTGAAAATATGATTAGAAAAACTGCATCTTTATAAAACATAAATGTACTGCTGGTAATGGTTTCTGAATTTGAATGTTGGATTGACTTAGTAAAAGCCAATGTGCACAATTAGAGTTGGCAACTCTAAGCAATAGCCTTCTGGGTATACCGAAGTTGAAGGAAAAAGTGTTAAAAGTGGTGATTTCATTCTGTTTTCTACAGGGAACCTAAGCAAATTTTATGATACCTTGGAACCAGCAGACTTTAGTTCTTATAAGAATAGCAGAGTTTTTACTGTCTAGGATGGAATGATATTTAGGAAATCAAGTCTTACCAAAAAACATAATATAACATAAAAAGGCAAATGTAGGTAGGTATTTTGGATGTGCATAAAAAGCATATGGTTAAAATCATCAACGTTTTGGACAAAAGAATTTAAAGTTTACTCATGCCTTTAAAAGTTAGAGAAATATAGTTTGAAGAAACTATTAACAGCAGCACTTCTTTTTTACATTTTTTAAATAAAGATGTAATTTGTTCAATCCTCTTCTCAAGGCCCATTAGTTCCAGGGATACTAACTTTTTCTTCATTCTCCCTTCTTGTAAAGACTTAAACACTGGTAGCTGGATTTATTCTTTCAGCCTGTTGATGAACATAAGCAGATAAAAATGTCCTCCAATAGTGAAGACAACCAAAATAGTTCAATTTTGGTTGAAATTCAGAAAAAACAAATGTCTGTAATGTTCTCCTCCAATTTGAAGTTAGAATAGCAAGTAATATAACAACATTTATTTTAGTTAACTCATGCCTGCTTTTAGGAACACTTTTAATTCATAATTGTTCATGAACCATTTGTTTAAATAATCTGATTTAGAATTTTGCTGATTATTGATGCTAAACTCACTGGTCTACATTTTGAAATCTTTCTGAAAATCAAGATATTTGCTTCTCTCCAAGCACACTTTAAGATATTTGCAATACATCCATCAGTACAGTCTTGTGATTATTTTAATGCTCATCTCCTATTTAGACAATGTGTGACCATCTTTTCACTTATTTTGAGCTTCAGTTTTCTTTTAACCATCTTTTTACATCCTTTTATCTTGCTAGAGAAACCAAGCAAAATGGAGTTAGGCTTGCTTTCTCTGTTGTTTTAACATTATAATAAGTAATGTGGCTGGCAGAAATGATGTTTGGACTAATATAGTTGATAATAGCTAGCATTTTTGGGGTGATTAATGTGTGGCAGGCACTGTGTTATGTGCTTTTATATACACTAAATCATTTAATGTTCACAACTCTTGAGTAGTGTAATTTTTTACTTTACAAATGAGGTGACTGTGGCTCCAGCCACAGTTAGTGGAGATGGTTAGGTGAGAAACCAGCCATCTCTCCTCTGAGCCACAACACTAATAAGTGGCAGATGTAGCATCAAAATTAGATCAGTCTTTTCCCCAGAGCTCATTCACATCCCACCACACTAAAGAATTTCAGGTTTGTTAGCAATGGGAACTTTTATTTTCAAACATTTGTGGGACCCTGGTATATTAACAAATGAAAGGAGAGCTGCTTGGTTGAAAGTGAGGCAGGATGTCTAACTGTACCCATTAGGGTCTAGAGAGAACCCTAAGTCCTTCATAAGAAGCAGGTCATAAGCCCTTGTTCCATAACATAACATAAAATTTCCCAAGAGCACCGTTAATATATAACATAGACCTATTAAAGCTAATTGATTGTTTTTAGCTTATAATAATTTCTATTTACTCTTGTTCATATTCCCATCTCTATTTTTGTTCATTTTTTTGGCCTGTTCATACTCATCCAAAACTTGAGGTGTAGTCACACTGGTTTCTGCATTTATTCCTCACCTGGATCATTTGTGATTTTATAGTTGAAAGCTTTTCTTCAAGGGCCTCCTGTCCTTTTGGGGTCTCTGACTCTAGGATCATACACAGAAATTTGGCTTCTTTCTTTCCTTCTCTTTCTTTTCTTTCTTTCTTTATTTTTATTTTTTTTTTGGGGGGGGGGAATGGAGTCTTGCTCTGTTACCCAGGCCGGAGTGCAGTGGCATGGTCTTGGCTCACTGCAACCTCCACCTCCCGGGTTCATGTGATTCTCCTGCCTCAGCCTCCCAAGTAGCTGGGATTACAGGTGCCTGACACAACGCCCTGCTAATTTTTTGTATTTTTGTTAGAGTCAGGGTTTCACCATGTTGGCCAGACTGGTCTCGAATTCCTGACCTCGTGATCCATCTGCCTTGGCCTCTCAAAGTGCTAGGATTATAAGCATGAGCCACTGCGTCTGGCTGAAATTTGGTTTCTTAAAGAATGAATTAGTTTTTCTTCGTGGTGAAAAATTAAGTTAACAAGTTTACCTTCTTTCCTTTTATTGTCCATGAAACCATCAGCAAGATAAGGCAGCCTTTTGTCACAAAATCAGGTTTTAGCAGAAGAGTTTTGGTAGGTGTCTGTGGTTGATGTCTCCATTTGGAGACATCTTATTTTTCTTTTGTGCCATTATCCTTATTTAACCTGGTCTGATGAACAATTATAGTTGAACATTCTAAAGCAAGTAAACAACAATAAATTTTTAAATCATATAGTCACCCATCTATCCATCTTTATCTTCATGCACATAACATCCAGTGCTCATTAATATATAAAGGAAGCATATACTGGAACCATACTTTCTCCTTCAAATCTCTGATTTCCACATTGGCATATAATTTCTGTAATTCTCAATTTCTTAAGCTGGCAAATGTTTGGACTAGGGGATATGATCCTTTCAGTCACAGATTTACACTTTTTTGTTTTTTTAACTCACTTTTCTTTCTCTGCTGTCCATTTAATTTGGACAAAGCATATAGTGAGTGAGGCTGAGTGCCACTCAAATAAGGTTATTCTCAGCCCTCTTTCTGATTATTGTGAATTATTGTATATTTCCAAAATGACTTGAACATACAACTATCTTTTGAAGACAACCTAACAAGATTAACATTCATCTTTGAAAATGGTTGGAAGTACCTCCACATACCTCTGCATACCCTTGCAGGTCCACATCACTTTTATGTGAAGTCGTGATTAGGGCGTGAAACTTTCTCCTTTTTTTTCTTTTCTTTCCTTTTTTTTAAAATTTGAGACGGAGTCTTAACACCGTTGCCTGGGCTGGAGTGCAATGGCGCGATCTTGACTCACTGCAACCTCTGCCTCCCGGGTTCAAGCGATTCTGCTGCCTCAGCCTCCCGAGTAGCTGGGATTACAGGTGCCCGCCACCACACCTGGCTAATTTTTTCGAGGTTTCACTATGTTGGCCAGGCTGGTCTCGAACTCCTGACCTCATGATCTGCCTGCCTCAGCCTCCCAAAGTGCTGGGATTACAGGTGAGCCACTGCACCCGGTCTAGGGCGTGAAACTTTCTTACCCTTGCAGGTCCACATCACTTTTATGTGGAGTCTTGATTAGGGCGTGAAACTTTCTTTCCAAAGTTGTGCTCCCAGTCACTGCTAGTAGTCCATTATTCCTGTCTTGTTAGCCAGGATTAAAAAATGAAAGCCCATTTCATGAATATAATTCATATAAGCTACTATTCACTTTCTATATCCTCTTTTCTTTTCCAAAATTAAAACATCCAGAAGAGATTAAAACCAGATTTTCCCAAATCCTTCAAGTTTTCTTTTTTCTTTTTTTTTTTTTTGAGGCGGAGTCTCGCTCTGTCGCCCAGGCTGGAGTGCAGTGGCCAGATCTCAGCTCACTGCAAGCTCCGCCTCCCGGATTTACGCCATTCTCCTGCCTCAGCCTCCTGAGTAGCTGGGACTACAGGCGCCCGCCACCTCGCCCGGCTAGTTTTTTTGTATTTTTTAGTAGAGACGGGGTTTCACTGTGTTAGCCAGGATGGTCACGATCTCCTGACCTCGTGATCCGCCCGTCTCGGCCTCCCAAAGTGCTGGGATTACAGGCTTGAGCCACCGCGCCCGGCCCATCCTTCAAGTTTTCTATGTACAATTTCAAAGTTGCCAGAGATATACACCAGATTTGTTATAGATATTATCTGTTTATTCATTCCCTTGTCATTTAGCAAAAGTGAGTAGCAAGTGGAAAACTGTTAGATTTCAGGTGCCTACAATAGAAATTGCAATAACCAACTCCATGGGAATTTTCTGCTTGCGATGGGGAGGTCTGGTGGATATTTTTTTTTTTTTTTTTTTGCTTTTCTTCTTGCTTTTCTTTATTTACTCTTTTGCATTCAGTAATATTTCACCTTCTTAAAGTTAATTCTCTAGGTCATCTTTAGAATTCCTTCTCCTGTTTCCTTCTCAATTATTTCCAACACCCTACATGAATCTTTCATACTATTGATAAATCATAGTCTAAAAAGGAGTTATTCATACAGTTTTTTTAAGTTCCTCTAAGTCTCATAACTGATAAGTGCTTTAAGCTGTTTCTCTCTAGAGCTCTCATCTAATCTCACATTGAAATGCCTTCTGCACACTGAGAAGATTTCTAAATGTATTTCTGGCCCTCTTCTCTTTTCTGGATGCTGGACCCATCCAGCTCTAGTTGTTATTTCTAAGTTGAATAGATAGCAGCATATCAAACTCAACATGGTCAAAGTAGAAATCTTATTTCTCCCTGAACTTGCTCACTCTGTATCTTCTGTCTCAATTATTGGTACCACCATCAGTCAAATTGCTCAGAAACTTGGGAGTCTTTTGTGACACCCTTGTTCTGTCACTCCTTGTAAATGTCTCTGATTCATTCAGCAAGAACTTCCGCTAACATACAGCCTGCAGTTTTCCATCTCTTAGCATCTCTTCTACAACCATAGGAGTCTAACCCATGTTTCTAGACTGAAAAACAGCAAGTCTCCTACCTAGTGTCTCCACTTTTACTCTTTTCTATTATAATCCACACAAAATCCAGACAGTAATCTTTTAAAACATGCTAATTAATCTTATTATTCCCTGCTTTAAAAGCTTCCATAGGGTTGGCAGTGCACTGAGAATTAAAATAAAAACACTTTACTATGGCTTTCAAGACTCCTGGTAACCTGGCTTCTATTAGCTCTCCCACCTCATTTCATGCACTTGCCCCTCTTTTCCTATGCCTTGAAAATGTTAAATACATTTCTGTGTTAGAGTCTTTGCACTCTGTTACCTGTGCCTACAATGTTATTCCCCCAGTTCTTCTGAAGTTTACCCTTTCTATCATCCAGATTTTGGCTCAAATGTAAACTTCTCAGTGAAGTCTTCTCTCATTCCCAGTCCAAAGCAGTGCCCATTTCTTCACCCCCTCCTCCCACAAATCACTGTCTTCACCACTGGGTTTAAAAAATTTATTGCAATTATGAATATTAGAAATAATATCATTTGTGGTTTTACTCCATCCCCCCTCCCCTTTTCACTGTGATCTTTTTAGGGCAAGGACCACCTGTCTTCAAAGCTGTACAACTGGTGCCAGTACAGTGCCTGAAACAGAGAAGTCCTCAACATGTAGCTGTGATATCTATAAAACATGAATGTCTTCAGCTCTCTAGAATCTCACGTGAAACTAGCTTTTTGTAAGTCTCTTGTAAACTGACCAGCAAGCTTTTTTTTTTTTTTTTTTTTTAATAATAGAAAAACTGTAGAATATTGACTTTATTCTGATTTGAAAGAAAATGGAAGTATAGTTTTGGACATTTAAAAGAAAAAAACCTCCTACAGAATGCAGAAAGGCATTTCATCAAGAAAAATTCCACCGTTCTCCTAGATTAGCTGAATCTAGAACATTAGGAAAATTACCTACCTGTATCATGGATGAAGAGGACCACCTCATAAGTAACCACGCAGGGAAAATGTAAACACAGGTAGACCTTATCAAACCATCAAATTCAGAGAATAAATTCAAGTCTCTTCAATGTAGTTGTGCAGCCTTGCAGTGTTGAGGCTCCATTACTGACCCTGGGAACACTGTTCTAAAGGAAGCCACCTTGCAATATCTTAGGCCACAGGCAGAAGACAATAAATAAATAAATAAATAAATATATCAGAACAAAATAAACTATACAAAATACAAAATGTTTGCTTAGGTATGTATGTGTGTACTTAAGCAGGGGAAGGGGAAAGTCTAGGGAAGTGGAGAAAAGAGAGGCAGCGCTGATTACATAATCTGCGTGGCCCATTGCAAAATAAAAATGTAAGACTCCTTGGTTAAAAATTATGAAGAACGAAACAGCGACAGCAGACTATTGTTCCAGAACATTAAACCAAACACGGGTCTTATGAGCTGTGGCCTATACAACTGCACAGTCGCACACCCATGAAGCCCACCCTGGTGGGAGGAGAGAATTAGAATTCATCTCCAACGAATGTAAAACAATCCCTACCCTGCCAAAACAACAAAAATAAACGATCCAAATTAGGGCAGGTTGTGAACAATCCTGATGGCTGTGCTTGTGATCATGGTGGCGGGGCTGAGGTGGGAGCACTGCTCCTATATAACAGACTTTAGAGGAGAAGGAAAATAGTTTCTGAAGCTCCAAAGGAGAAACTTCAGGCGCAAAGAATAAGGTAAAGGAAAGGAAACCGCGTCAGACCCTCCTCCTGCCCTTGGGCAGTCAATGCCTTTTCTTTCCAAAGCGACCCTCTCTTTAGATCACTGTGTATATCCGGTGCCTTAGGAGCTGGGGTGGAGTAGGTAGGGTTGGCTGTAATGGCGTGTCAGAGCGACAAAAAGGGTAGGGACAAGTTTAAATCCCTTTCTGTGGATTGGCTTCTACCCTCTTTGGCAACAAACCCCAGGGCTCCCAGAGGGGCCTGGATGTAAGTGGTTTCCGGATGACCCATCCTCCCTTGACCCTCCGAAGGTAAGACCCGAGGGGAACCGCTGTGATCAGCATTCTTGAATTCCTCAAAAGTCACCTCACTTGTAGAAGTGCGTAGTCCTCGAGCATTTGGAAGAGGTGGCAGGGACCGTGGGGCCCGGGAAGTTCGCGACCCCAGGAAGCGGGTGTGAGGAGGTGCGCCCCATCCACTCCGTCCGCAGTCGGGGCAGCGGGACCCGCGAGGACTGGAGTCCCTGCAGGGAGGGAAGGGCCGCTCCTGCCGAGGCGGCTCCGAGCCCCGCCACTCGGTCCTATCCCGGCTCGCGGAGGCTCAGGCCTCGGGAACTGCGGGCGTAGGGGGCGGCGACCGGGCACCCTGCGGCCACTGCTCCTGCGACTCCCGCGCCCGCCGGGTGGTGGCTCCGCAGTGCCCGCCCCCAGCTCCCCTTCCCCGCCCCTCACGCCCCCGCCCGGCGCTCTGGCCGCGCCGACCCGCCGCCCCGTCCTTCCGAGCGCGCCAGGCGGCAGCTTCTTGGCGGCGGCGGCGGCACCTCCCCCGCGCCGGCGGCCCCGCGCCGGCGGCCGCGCTCCGGGCCGCAGAGTCCTCCCGCCTCGGCCATTTTCCCTCCTCCCCATCTCCTCCCCTCAGTCCACTCCCCTCCTGATCCTCATCCCCTCGCCCTCCCCCCGCGCGGGGACTTTTCCGGAAAGTTTTTATTTTCCGTCTCGGCTCTCGGAGAAAGAAGCTCCTGGTTCAGCCGCTGCAAAACTTTTCGGCTGCCGCGCCGCCTGCCCCCGCCCTCGGCTGCCCGGCCCCGCGCCCCGCTGAGCGATGAGCGCCCCTCCGGTCCTGCGGCCGCCCAGCCCCCTGCTGCCCGTGGCGGCAGCCGCTGCGGCAGCTGCCGCCGCACTGGTCCCAGGGTCCGGGCCCGGGCCCGCGCCTTTCTTGGCTCCCGTCGCGGCCCCGGTCGGGGGCATCTCGTTCCATCTGCAGATCGGCCTGAGCCGTGAGCCAGTACTGCTGCTGCAGGACTCGTCTGGGGACTACAGCCTGGCGCACGTCCGCGAGATGGCTTGCTCCATCGTCGACCAGAAGGTAAGTCGCCGCGCCGCTGCCAGCCCGGCGCCTCCCCGCGGCGCAGGGGGCGCTGCCCAGCTGGCCCTCTCTGCGCCAACTTTCCGGCTCCCGGGGCTCGGCCGGCCGCCAGCCTCGTCGGCGCTCTGGAAGCGACTGGCCTCGCCGCGGCTGGACGCCCGCAGCCCGAGGCACTGCGCTCGCTGTTGCTCATCCTCCTCTCGCCCCATCTTCCTCTATTCACCGATTTGTCTCCAGTCCGCCTACTCCTCACCCATTTCCATCCTTCTCATGACAATTTCCAGGTATCTTGCCCTTTCCTCGCCGCGCCCCTCCTTGTCCTTGAGACTTCCCAGTTTTCTTCTCCTCTGTCCCCTTCCCCTATGGACCCTGGACCAGCGCATTCCTGGTGCCGGAATCCTACTTCCTGCACCAGAGTGCCCCTGGAATGGCCTGGAGACAAGAAATTTCTCACCTGTCAGCTAAACTGACCAGGACTGCAGCTACCCAAGGCCCTGTCATCTTTTAGTTCCACCTCTGTATGAACATGCAAACACATTTTCCAACGACAAAACCTGAAAGTTGCAACCTTCCTATTTTTCATTCCCGGGATGCTGATAGTAGGACGTTGAAGTGGTGGGGGTGATGTCCAGGAACATCCCAAGGCTGGCTGTGCCCTTAAGTTTGAGGCTGTGGGGCTCTGGACAGCGGCCACTCAAGGCAGGTTGGAAGAAGGGCCGTTATCTGGGGCCAGGCCACCCCCGGAGGAGACTCAGTCCAGCCACCACTGTTTACAGTTGCAATTTGGATTTTCAGGTTGCCTCTGGAGCTATCCAGAGGGATGTTGCATGGAAGGGGGTGATACAGATGTGAGGGAGAGGGGACCATGGCGCCAGTCTTCTTAGTGTAAACAGCCAGCGTTTCAGGGGGTGGAGACAGAGGTCTCTAAAGGTGCTGAATTTTTCAGCCCTGGAGGACTGGCTAGCACTCCTTTTGCTTTCCAATTATCACTTGAATAATCATGAATTGCTTTCTTTAAACTATGTGTAACAGAGTTTGCTAAACCTTGAGGGTTGTGAGTTGCGGCACTGAGCACAGGGATGTTAAAAGCCCCAGGTGGAAAAAAATAACCGATCTAGAAAGTTGTGAAAGTTCTAGACTAAGGTAACAATGAGTGCCAGGAATTTATTTATGGAACTTTACTTTTATATTACGGGTAATGTCAACTGTTTGCAACTTCGAAGAAAATGACACATTTTGTCTAATGCTGATGCAAGTCATATCATGCTCCTTTTCCACATCAGTATTGTGGAATGTCTATTGTGGGTAAGCAGGAGCACTCTCCTAGGCACTGTGAAAGCCTTGTATACAACCCTCTCCATTTGGATGCAGACCAGTTAATTAAACAGCAATGCTTCATAACCACATATACAATGTACAATAAAATTTCTCAAAAAGCAAAGGTAATTCTGTACAATTTTAACTTTTCTAAATTCTAAAGCAAGTGATGTAGTGTCAGAGAATATTCAAATTGGGTCAAAGTAATATTGATAGACTTTGTTTTGACCAGCTTGAATTCTCCCTCCTCCCCGCCCCCAACTTCCTTATGGAGTTCAGGATGGAGAGACTGATCCATGGCTCAAGAGGTTTGGTAGTGGGATTTTAAAATGGAGGGTGAATTCCAGGTGTCTTGGAAGCTACCAAGAGGCGTGTTACATGGAGAGAGTGAGATGAGAGCAGAGGGAGAGGGACAGCAAGCACTTATGGAATGCAGCAGGCCTGAAGGTGGTGGCTGGGGTCTTTAAGGGAAGTACAGTTATGAAAAGGCCTTGAATTAAACTCAAATTGCGAGAAGCCTCAGTAATCTTTTCACAGCGACATCATACCAAGGACATCTGAAACATGGATTTGCTGTGTGGAGGTTTTAGAATGCCAAAAATGTTATGGCAGAAAGAGCACCAGAGTTCAGTCATGAGCAGTTGGAACATGAGCCAAGACTCTTGGGGGAGAGACCGGGAGAAATACTGGAAAGGGAAAACCATCAGCCCTGATAGGTGACTGATTTATAAGGGGAATCCTTTCCTTTTGTATTTGTTTTGGTAGTTTCTTCTGTCTCTCAAAGAAGTTTGAAAAGTTTGACTGTTTGGGATAGTTAAGGTAAAGATCTAACTGATTTTTTTTTTTTTAAGGTTATAAAAAAGTTGGGGTTAGATTTATATATGTGAACTTGAGGCTTATTTATATACAGAATACTGTAAATAAATATATACTAGATAGTGTTTCTGGACAGAGGACTTTTTCAATTTCTCTATCATCTGTCATCTCTTTCAGAATATATTGCTATCCCAGCAGAAACAAAATTAAGACAGCTGAAGGTCCATCACAGGATACAGGGATCTCTGTGTGTTGTGACAGTAGGAATGGCAGAGTGTCAGTGTGGAGTTAAAGAAGTGGGAGGGAGTTCTTTTGTCTTTCATTTCAGTTTTTTTTTGAAGTCCTTTATGAGGATGTCAGCTATGAGGAAGGATGACAGGAGTTTGGGGAGTGGATGTTTCAGGAGAAAGCAGAGGATTTGAAATCATTTACAATTTACTATGTGGGCTGGAGTCATATGAAACTTACAGCAGAAGGTTCTCCTGATCTTTCTGAGTCTTCCACATCTGTTGTCTTAAATGTGTTAAGAAGTTTTTCATTCACTTTGTTCAGGAGCTCCCTAAATACTAACATAGATCATATGAGCATTGGAAATACTAGCTGACAGTTTCAGTAACATCATAGGACATTTCCTTTGAGATGAGCAACTGAGGTGTACAAGGCTGTGTAAGTTTCCCTGAGAAACTCACCTCTAAATTATTATTGTTATTATTTAGAATTTAGAGTATAGTTGTTCTCTATGTAGCAGACAAAATTGTACTTGAAACACTGTGATGGCATTTCAACAAAAAATATTTACTTAAAATAACGTACCCTAAGTATATACTGACATATAAGTAAAGAATTATTTCTTTCATCTTCTAGTTTAGGTGAAAAATCTAGTCTTGCTTTTTGTATGTAACAATGTATGGATATGTAATATGTTATTCTTTCTTTTTGAGAAGTATTGATCCAGGGTTTCATTTACATTATGTTTATTTATTTAGTTTGCAAGTGTGTGACATTGAAACCTGGTTGTATATAAAGATATGTATTCTGTTAGTTTACATGATTATTGTTTTCAGGAGGGTAAGAAATAATAACAATAATTGACTTCACTTTGAAACACTGTTACTTTCTACTATCAAAGAAACCTTGAATATATAGACTGAGGAGGAATTGTTTTAAAGCAAGGAAAAAAATTCCAGAGGAAGAGCTAGTTTGGTTTCATAGTACATCATCTACCTACCTACCACACAAACACACACACACACATACTTTTTTTTTTTCAAATGAGCAGTGTTACTTTAGGGATGCTTGATGCAATTAATATGACTGTTCATTTTGGCTGTTACCTTATTAGAAAGACGACTGATATTTTACTCTTAAATGTACTTTAATAGAGGAATAGCATTTGTAAGACTCCTGGCATATAGTTTCACTTTTCAGAATCATCTTTTGGCCAAAGAAATTTAACAGTGAGATTTTAAGTAGATAGCTCACCAAAGAAGTAAGGTTAGTGTCTTGGTTTGAAAGTAGCGTTACTTTGCTTGTAATTGTTTCACTTTAATTATATTATACATTGTTTTCTTAATAGTTGTGGTGTTATTTTTCTCTTTATTACTAATTTTAGATACTCCACACATTCCATATAGATTGAGAAAGCCGAAAGTAATTAGGTGCTTGACCAATCCAACTTCCCTGGACCAACAAACTCCTTTTAAGCTAATGATCGTCTTTGGGGCTTAGGTGTATATATTTTTATTCTGATTGTATAATTGACTATATTATATGTCTACTGATTTCTGATTTAATGATGAAGTATAGACTTTGTCATTTTACTGTGATTCTTTTTTTTTTTAGACAGGGTCTTACTCTCTTGCCTAGGCTGGAGTGCAGTAGCACAATTACAACTCAGTGTAGTCTCGCCCTCTGGGCTTAAGTGATCCTCTCACCTCAGCCCCTTGAGTAGCTGGGTCTACAGGTGTGGGCGACCACGCCTGGCTAATTTTGAAATTTTTAGTAGAGATGGTATTTTGCCATATTGCCCAGGCTGGTCTGGAACTCCTGGGCTCAAGAGGTCCTCCAACCTTGGCCTCCCAAAGTGCTGGGATTTAAGGAATCCCATTGGGTATGAGCCACTGGGCCTGGCCTATTAAGTGATTCTTAAGTAATATAATTATAGTACT